ACTTGGCCAGTGCATATTTCATGGCAAGGAGCTCCTTGTCATGCACCGGGTAATTACGCTCAGCTGCTTGCAGCTGATGCGATTGATAATAGACGACGCGCTCAACGCCGTCTGAGTCGTACTGCATTATCGCGCAGCTGATTGCAAAATCGCTGGCGTCACAGACCACATGGAACGGTCTGACCTGGTCTGCAATCGCCAACACAGGCTATTGTATCAACCTTTTCTTGATACTTCAAAGAAGTGCTGGCACTCAGCACTCCATGAACACCTCTCGTTTTTCTTTAGCAGACCAGAGAGATGTAAGATCATCTCAGCGTAGTTGCGCGATTACTTGTGCAAGTACGCCACCAAGCCAAGGAACTTTCGAAGTCCTTGACGTCGACAGGCACAGGCCAGTTGCTAATCGCCTTGATCTTTTCCGGATCAGGGAGTAAATCTTTGTTACCCACGATGCAGCCAAAAAGTGGTATTCTGTTCGCTGCGAATATGCACTTCTTGAGGTTCGCAAACAACTTATGCTCACGCATAAGTGTAAGAACCTTCCGGAAGTGGATTCTATGAGCCTCCACTTCCATCTTTCCATCCATAGACCGGCTATGGACGAAGACATCGTCGAAGTAACTCGGTGCAAAATCTCGTGCCGATCGCAAAAGATTCGTAACACATCTGTTGAACGTTGCAGAGGCGTTACTTATCCCTGTTGCATCACTAGCCACTCCCAGAGCATACCACTGGGGGTGCTCAATGCTGTGTACGGGATGTCCCGTTCACGCATGAGGATCTGATATAATCCATCTATCAGATCCATGGACGAAAAGATGGTACTCTTTGCCATACCATCTATGATGAAATCTTTCCTTAGTATCGGCATTTGAGACGGTACCGTTGTCGTATTCAATTTGTTGAACACGTGCACTATCCGCAACCCTCCTGTGGCCTTTCGCACACAGAAGGTCGGAGAGCTGTGTGGGGATGTTGATTCCCTCACATGAACAGCCGCTAATCGATCGGCAAAGAATTTGTCGATCGCTGTGAACTGTTCACGAGGCAGTGGCCACTGCTTCATGACACAGTATTTCGAACCGGGTTTCAGTTCGATCTCATGCCGAGTACCTTTGTCCTTAGGTAGCTCGCATGGTACGGATTCAAGGAAAACATCCCTGAATTCAACCAAATCCTTATACAAAGAATTTGTCTCCAAAGACTCCCTAGATTGAGACGTGTATCGCTCCATCCAAGTCTTCTCATCTAGGACACTCTCGTCCATCGATGAGCTACTGAGAACCCGTTCGTTCTCAGCAAACACTTGTGCCGACCAAATATCGGCGACGTACTAGTCCTCTGCGACGTTTAAGCAGATCGTATTGATCTTGTCACTACGCAGATCTCGCAAGAACCTTTACTTTTTAGCGTGGACAACTTCATTACCTCCGAAGCTGACTTCGGAGGTGTAACCCGATCAAGTGTATAAGTGCCTAAACTTGATCCTTCATTCACCAAGACATTCACTGTCTCGGTGATTTCCTGAGGAAACACATCCGCAGGTGGTTGGGGATCCACATTATCAACATAACTCTCTCGGGAGTTATTACTCTCAGGAACGCCAGAACTTTCTTCCAACACGTGTACTGACTGTAAAAGTACTACCACAGTCACGTCCTCTTCGATCGACTCTCTGTTAGTCGATCTTGCTTCAACGTGTTGTTCATTCTGAACAGCACTAATCTTCTCTTCTCGAATGCACCCTTCTTGGTGTGCATTCGTGTTCCAGTCCACTCGATCTCTTCTAGTGGTGAACATTCGGTGCATCCTGTGTCTCTACACAGGTGCCGGAAGCTGGTTCCACAGTGTAGTGGCATTCTACACTTTGATCTTGTGCAGTCATACTAACGACCGTACCACAAGTGAGGCCATCACACTCACTCGTAGTACATCCACGCGCTTGTGGACGCCCAAAGACGTTCATCAGATGGCCATCTGATGAACAAACACGGATGGCATCTTAACAGACCGATGCTGCCAGCTGATCCAAGGCTGGTATTTTCGAATCCATGGCATACCGAGGATGGCACTAAATATTTATCCAAATCCAGTACGATGAAGTCATCATCGTACTGCTTTCCTTCTAGCGTGTAGTGGGTTCCCACTACACTTTTGTCCACTGTTACGGATGCGCCTGTAGCAAGGCACATCGTCATCCTCGTTGGAGGGAACTCTCGCTCAGCATAGTTGAGCCTACTTTCCCCTAGCAACTGGCGTCGAATAAAACTGTTCGACGCCACACAGTTAACTAGGGCGCAACGTGACATTCCACTTGTCATTTCGATCTTCAAGTGATGAGGACACCTCATCACTAGGGGCAGTAACACACAGCGACTGTGTGTTTGGAGCAATCTTCGTCAAGAGTCCTGCAAATTCTCTTGACGTTGCTGGATCAGCAGGGTGACCCACCCCTACTGACCCTGACTGCTTTTTTGCGGTCCGACTTGCTGTCGCGACTTAGCGACATGGTCGAACCCACGCCTTGGACCTTTCCTTGGCCAACGGTGGTCATCACGTCCTGTCTCTGGACGCGATGCGGTGCTTGGGACACTACACCCATGAGCGTAGTGTTTAATTTCTGACAGCGATGGCATCTCGCCGTTCGCTTGTGACTCGGAGAGCGAGAGTTCTCGCTCTCGATATAACAGAGGACCACTGGTCGGAAACTCCTGTTTCCTGTCGTCTCGTCAGACGATAGTTTGACGAGTTAGCCTGAGACTGTCTCAGGCTGAAGTCTTCTTGTTCCGCATACGTTATCGCCTTTTCCAGCGTATGGAAGTCTTCTCGGACCATGTAGGTCTTCACCGGCCCATCTACAAGGCCGTAGACGAACCCGTTGATGAGCGTGTGCTCATCAACAGGGTGTTCCGTGATGCTACTCGCAAGTTAGCGTAGATGTTGTGCGTAAGCATGCACATCATGCTTACCTTGCTTTAGCCTCAAGAGTGCAGAGCGTGCTCTGAACTCGGCTCGTAGTGGCTCATACGTCTCTTTAAGCCGGGACTTCAAGGTCTCCAACGACCCAAACACGTTTAAGTTGTTTTGCTTGATCCCTAAGGCCCAAGTCTTTGCTCGTCCTGTCAAATTTGACAGGGCGAAGGTGACTTGCATCTCGTAACCCTCGATGTGACGGGCCCTGATGGTGTCGTCTAACTCGACGAACCATTTCAAAAAGGAATCTTCATCGATTCCCTTGTACCTTGAGATATCATTCTTCAAGGTTTTGGGTCGACGCATTTGCGTCGGCCCACTCATCGACTGATGAGAGCCTTGCTGTTGTAGCAAGGAAATTTTCTGTCTTTCGACGGCAAGTTCCCCTTGTAGGAACTTGTTGATAGCAGCATGTTGCTGATCTCTGCTTAGAGACTCCAACATGCTGATGGCGGGTTCGCCCATGTGCACACTCATGCGGCCGACTACCTCCCATTCTGAACACTCAGATAGGAGTAGCCTTCACGTGTGACGTGAAAGCTGTCGTCTTCTACGTCCAACATGTTCATGTTGGACGGACACTAAGTAGTCGTTGGACGGACTACAAAGTGCTACCAGGTGTAACGGGGCACTCTTTGTTTGGGGTGCCACGAAACTTCACGTACACTAGTACGTGCAGAGGAAGCTAATCTACTCAACAAATATGTTGAGTAAAGGGTAAAACGAGAACTGTATTTAACATCGTTAAGCTATCAATATAACTTCAGTATTTATCTAACTATGTCAAGCTACGCCGCCGCATGACGACAACCTGCTCACCACTCATTGCGCGCGTCTAGCAGCGATTGGTAGTAATCTGTGGTTGATATGTCTTATATCAACCAATCTTGGAGCATCACATGAATATTATCCTAAAAGAGGATAATATTGCTTCAATATTATCCATCTCGGATAATATTGGTAGAATATTGTCATGCTAGACAATATCCCTATTGACACCGTTTGGTGTCATTATCATGTAACGGGCTACCCCGTTACATAGGGGTCAAATCAATTACATGTAGACATACCCGTATGTGTTGATTTGGCACAGCCGTTTTGGCGATTTGAGGGTGCTTGGATCGGAGATCGTCGATGAAGGCGGGAGTGGGAGTGATGTGTGCGCGTTGTAGATTCGTGTGGTGTGGTGCGCCTATTAAGAATTACTGGGTGTGCTGGAAACAGTATAAGTGTGGTGGAAACAGTATAAGTGTGGTGGAAACAACAATTTCCTAATCTTATGGGCCAGAGTACCATGAGTTTCGTTTCGATTTAATGTGGCGTGATGAGCCGATGCAATCGACCACATTGAACAGCATCACTTGCTTCAAATCCAACGAAAAACTTGCGAGTACTCATGACAATGTGGCTTGACGATTGCGTGAACATGAACAGCTGTATCGTGACGCTTGAAGTAGCTCGTACGAGGCGAGTTGTTGCAGCCGCTAGACAGGAGGTCACCACGCATCTGCAGCTTCCAGAGGCAACGCGTCGTGACTTATCGTGTGGACATAAGCTGCCACGCTACTGTTCATCGGATCAGGCGCTAGCACCGCCTACTCTCGCCAAGCGGAACCTGACTAGTCATTGGAGACTCTCGTCCCGTCGAAATGTGCCGTGGCGGGAGCTGCACAGATGTCCGAGCATAATGCTCAAGCGCACACGTAGATACCTTCAAGCTGCTGCACATACGTGCACGTGGCTTTCCACAAGCAGAAGCTGCTGGAAGCCTCGAGGGGACAAAACGGTCCTTCTCCACGCACAAGACTGAGAATCCAGTGCGCTGACCGCAAGCTGAAACCGTGTTTCTTTGCAGTAAGGCGACGCACAATTAGTCGACTGCGACAGCGAGTGCAGTACCCAGAGGCTTGGTGCTTTTTACCATGAAATCGCGACGCTGAAAGCAGGCAAACGAGCGTGGACGAGCACGACGATGTGGACGAAAAGTGGATGTCAACGGACGTCTTTCGTGCACTACAGAGACAATGGATGCTCTGCGGACGTTCACCTGCGATCGATCAAGTAGTGGTCTTGCGAAGCTTGGGCTACTGGTAGTGCTGCTGCTTGCCACTGTAGTTCGATGGTACCAAACGGTGATGGATGATGAGCCAATGTACGTCGGAAGTTGTGCGAGTCAAGGCCAGGCTGACTCACGAAGCATAGAGGGACCCGTAGCTGCGTTCATTCTGTGGTGAGTGTATTGCTTGGGTCGTGGTGGATCAGTCTGCATTTCATTTGCGCAGCAGCACCGCGCCGGTCACTGCGATGGCAGCAACAGCAGCGACCACGTAATGCAGCAACTGGTCACTACGCAGGCAGGATCTGGGCTTGCTCATAGGATGGCTACACGCCGCTGTCCGGGAGAACAGCGGCTCGCCTGTAACCGCATCAATCAGCGCTTCGTCTGCGGACAGTACGCGCGTGCCACCACCAACACGAGACACGTACATCATCTTTACGCTGTCAGGGAGATGCGGCAGCTCAAAAGTCTCCTTGCTACTGCCACACGCTTTCGACTGCATCCGTTCAAGCAGCGCGCGTGACGGCGTGCAGTCAAAAGACATCGAGGCCTTGATCGTCATGTTCAAAGAGTCGGAAAAGCAGTGGCATACGAGCGACACGAGCTCCTGCGCGTGCTGCTCCTCGACAAAGAGGACAGCATTCGGCCCCGCATCGAAGGTGTAGGCTGCCTGTACCCGACCAGCTTGTTCGTTGTAGCGGTGCACGAGTCGGATGATTTCTCGTGAAGTCTCGTTCAAGTAGAAAATTGGCGGCATCGAGTCGAGACAAGTGGCGTGGAACTGGTTACTGTCTCGCATCGTGAGCGTCCCGAACGCTGCAAAGTCCTTCGCCAAGATGGCTTCCTCCATCGTCTTCATGCGATCGGCCACCACGTGCTCGACCCGGTACGCCAGCAGAGGACTCGTGGCCTTGGTCCTCTGCATGCCGCGCGTGCTGCTCGTGTCCTTCTGCTGGTCACTCACGACGCACACGACGGCACGGAGCTCCGGCCAGTGCAGCGAGTCAGCGACTGGCACCGCGACCGAGTCCCGTCCGTCGCTCCGCTGTCCCTTGTGCCACGCCACGAAGCCGCCGTGCAGACTCCTGCAGGCCGACCCCGAGCCTTGCCGTGCGATAGCCGACAACTGGCCTGGAAACTCCTCGTCTGCCGTCGAGAGGCGGTAGAACTCAGCCAACGCGGCCACGAGACACGCGTAGCCAGCAGCAGACGAGGCGAGTCCCGCCGCCGTCGGGAACGAGTTGCTGGACACGATAAGCAGCGGCTGCTGCGTCTCCTGCGCCGCTTTATGCACGCGCTGGGCCAGCTGCTGCATCTCTCGCACCACAGTCGTCACGCGGCTGTTGAGGGGCTGCTCCTGGCCATTGAGCCACAGCCGCGTGCGGCTCAGAGCTGATCCACTGGCAACGGACGTCGTGGCCCGCAGTTGGTCTTGGTGCAGCGTCACGCTGAGACTGGAGTTCAGGGGCGTGTTGAGCACCGCGTCGGTCTTGCCCCAGTACTTGATCACGGCGATGTTGGTGGGAGCTGCACACGTGACGACCTTCATCTTGGTCTGGCGCTTGAGAGGGAGTCGGGATGCCTTTCAGCCAGTCAATTGATGCGCTCAGGGAAGCGGATGGGGACCTCGTGACAATTGTTGGATTGGATTGTTGTTGCGGTTCGATTGGTACGAGATGTCGCGGTCAGTAACGATTCGATGCAGACGATGTGATCCGAGATTGAGATGGGCGCTCTGAACGCTTCATCAGGGCCGGACTGCTATAATCTGTCCTTTTCAAGGCAGTAGAGCTGTTGTAGGACTGTACAAACAAAGAGAAAAAAGGTCTGTCATTCGACTGTGTGACAAGGAGGCAAGAGATCAGTAACGTTTGCACCAGACTCTTGACACTGTCGGCAACTTTTACTTCCAGAAGCTCTTTCAGCGATGACAGACATGCCATTAACGAAACGTGAACCACAAAAGTGCTCCGTCGATTCGACACATACGTCTCCGCACGTCGAGTTTGCAAGGGAAAAATGTACAACACCAGTAGTCGACAGCGTTCGAGTCGAAGAATTGTGCATCCAAGTCCAATTTTTATTTGCCATACAGTTATTTGGTACCGGTCATCGCATGACCGCGGTACAAGGAGCAAAGCTTCGACTTGTTGCAACACTTCTTCGTCATGACAATGAACATACCATAACGCGGCTTCCGTTTGGACTGTCACACACCCCAGTGTGTTCCGTTCTTCATTGCAGCCTGAAATCTCCGCAGCTGTTGGACGCCTTCCATGGCGAAACGCCTGAGATGCGTCTCAAGTCCAGAAAAGCTCAGGTCTGCGAATTTCTGTGTGGAAAACAGCACGTTGTCATGAAGGTGGCGCTTGCCCGAACACCGTTGCCACACAGGAAATTCTGGAGGTGCTCTGTATGACTCAATCCTGTAATCATTCCGACGCGACGAGTTTCGAAATGACCACAGATGCGTCCAAATGACTGGATCCGGTAGGTTGTCGGGTTCTAGAGGACCAAACACGTGATTCACGTTGTAACGTTGTCGTCGCCCAGTCAGTTTGTTGGCATTGCGGTGAAGGAAAAGCACGTTTCCACCAAAATCGTGTTGAGCCATCGTCATACCACAAAATGACTCATTCACAAGCTTGCCAGCGACTGCAGCTAGAGTTTGAACCATAGAAAACGACGCATTTAGCTTGATCCACGCAAACCGAAAAAGGTCTTTGTCCCCCCCCACACCAGATCGAGACGCTCAAATAGGTCAGGGTATGAGAAGCGTAGAAGTGTACGAGCACCATGGCAGCAGCGTGGCGTCTTCGATCAATCAAGAGCTGGCCACTTTCCTGCACGAACATGTCAACGTACTGCATATCCAGCATTTGGCCCAACAATGAGTCTTTGACGAGGTGAAAGATACTGTTCTGCGGGTGCCAATAGTCCGGCCAAAACACAGCTCCAGTTCTCACAAACTCTTCAGACTCGAATAAGAAAGCCGGTTCACGCACTGGAACGTTATCCGCATCCAGGAACAGCACTTGGTCGAAAGCGCTATTGTAGATCGCATGCACCTTAGCTGCGAAACGAACCGCACGCAAATCATCGATTGCTCGAAATGTGACCCCATCCATTGTATCCACCTTTGCAGCCTCTTTTAATTGCTTGAGCCCAGCAGGCACATTCTGCATCTCGTCCGGTCGGAACCAGATTTCGATCGGTAATTGACAACGCAACACCTCTCTCAGTGTGCGAATCGAAGCATATGCGCCTGCTAGGAGTTTCGGGTACACAACCATGACAATACCTGCCCGTACTGCCTCGGTTTGATTGCTGTTCGGCAGACTAAAGCCAGGTGCACTGACTTTTTCCACCACTTGGCCAATCTTTGCGGGGAAATTCGCGAAATCCGGTGCAAGAGAGCAAAAGAAGTTGGCCCGTTTCCGGACTGTGGCACACCCACGTCGCATAGCACGGAGCCGTTCACCGGTCTTGACGTCTTCAATCTCACAGTAGCCAGACGCAGTGTGTTCGACCCGTTCGTCGCACACTTTGTCATTCGCCACATCACGAGCTCCGTCTGCACTGCAGCCGTGCGTGGCTCTCCATCCGATACACTTGAATTGGCGTGTCTCCAATGCTTCACGCGAACCGTTCTTGACAGTTGCTGCACGGGCCTCTGTCTTCAATACTTCGAGTGAAAGGTCCTTGACGGTTACTGCCGAGGCCTCTGTCTTGAACATATTGATTGGAGGGTTCTTGACGGTCACTATAGGGGCCTCTGTCTCCAAAACTTTAAGTGAGAGGTTCTGGGCTAATGCCGCACGACTTTCTGCCTCTACTTGTACGGGCGTAGATAAGAAGTACTGTTGACTAGATATCATCCACACTACTATCAATATCGCGTAGACTAAAGTAGCCAACAGTATCAGCCGCAGGACAGTTGGCCTGGTGGACGACAACTTGACGAGCGGGTCCGGCATTGTGTGCACACGTGTTGTTTGGCCCTCTCAACACGAAAGAGAAGCGCGAAATAAATGGACGAAGGCCGACCGGCTGAACGAGGGATTAAGGTTCAAAGTCCCTGTTCAAAACGTTTTTCCACCAGCGCTCGATAGTTTAAAACTTGATCTTTTTGTAGCAGTCTATTTACACCATTCGAGAAGAAGACGAAAAAGGCTATTGGCCCATCGTTTCATACATGCAATATAGTCCGGAGAACTAAATTAAGCTCTCAACCAAAGAAAGAAGAAATCCTTCATTTCAAACAGAACTGATAAGAGCTGTAATTTTAGGTTTTACTTAAACAGAAGCAATTGCTTTATTTTATTTATGACGGCTTTATTTTAAATATTTGCTTTTTATGAAAAACACACACCAGCAATCATAAATTTTTACAAGATTTACTTTTTCAATTGGATTTTAGATTTAATACTAATTTTATGAAATTATAAAAAGTAGTCCATATTTATTACATTGACTAGACCTGTATTATTACTTTCATAAAAATTTATGCTTTTTTATTAATATTTACCACGCACCCACTTTCATCAACTTCAACATTTCCAACGCTCTTCCTCGGTCGTAAATTGTCCTCACACCCCTATCATTTCTTAAGCTTGCACAGGTTACTTGCGCTCCCCCATCCTTAAGCTTCTTCATCCTTGAGCTCCTTACGCGCGCCCCGACCATGAAGCACACTCCGACGCAACCTTCTTGCCCTCTCTCTCTCTCCTCCGACCCTTCATCGCATCCAGATCTTGATGGAACCGCATCAGACTCTGCAGCATTTCCAGATTGATCGCATCAAGGGCCTTCGTCATCAGGTCCTCGAGCATCAGCTCGGACGAAACGTGCTTCGTCGTGACGATACCGCGTTGAGCGAGGTCGCGCAGACGCTTATGCCTAATGTCGATGTAATTGGCCTTGATCGATGAGGTTTTGCCTGTGATCTGGCTGATGGCTAATTGGTTGTCCACGTACATCAGAATATGGACAATCGGCGCCATGCCCACCACTCCGAGCATCTATTGCAAACCAATGAGCTCGCGCGCCACTTCCGACGCCACGACGAACTCCGACGCCGTTGTTGATAGACTTATCCCGCCCTGTTTCTTCGCGGTCCACGATACCGCCATACCATTGTGTAGCACAGCGCTTCCCGATAGCGACTTGCGATCCGCCCTGTCCGTTGCGTAGTCAGCGTCGCTGTAGGCTTCGAGCTGCAACGTGTCGCGACTCGTTCGCGCCGGCACCATCGGGACCTTGAACGTCACGGCGCCCTTAAGTTATTGCGTGACACGCTTGGAAAGCTTCCATTCAAGCACTCGCGGCGCGTGCGTCTGCCTCGTCGCTTTGTGCACAGCAAAGGCAATGTTTGGCCTCGAGCACCGCGCGACCCACAGCAGGCTCCCGACGAGTGACTGAAACGCATTAATCGTCGCACTACCGCCTGCACTATTCGTCTCCAGCAGCGCGGCATCGTCGCCTACAATCTCGTAGCATTCATCTATTGGCGTCTTCGTCAGGTTCACGTCGCTCATCCCGTGAGCACGCTTGATGGCCTTCTCCTGGTCAATGCGATATGCGCCGTCACTTCCGAGCTCCACTCGCATCCCCAGAAACTTACGATCATGATGACCAAGATCTTTGATATACAGCAACACCAGGCTCGCGAAGAGACTCTCGACCGCCGCGACACTCGTTCCCGTCGCCAGTAGGACCTCGACGTAGGCGTCTACAACGACCAGCTCGTCGCCGTCGCGTTTTTAGTACTGACACATGTCGGAAGCACATCGCACGCGCCCTGCATCGTTGAGTCGCGCGTGGAGCAACTGGCTTTAAGAGGCGACAGGCTTGCTTCAGCAAGTGCAGGCTCCTTATTAGCTTCAAGACGACCTCGCCTGGATGCGCGGCGCCTACCTTGTGCAGAGTACTCTCTGACACGCTCATCCCACGTAGCACCTGCAGGCAGATATCGAGGTGAGCTTCGTGTCCGGTACGCACGTGTGCATTCGGGATGTCTCCGTGCTTGTCAGGAACGCCCCACGTTGCATCGAGAGCCAGCACGACCTTTGCTGTCGATATGTCCATCACGGCGGCAAAGGTTAGGTTGTAATTGACGCATTTCCGCATGCGAAAAGCCTCGACTTATATTTCTCCAGCTCTCCGTCGGGTCCAGTATTGGTTTAAATACCTACTTAATGTGAAGAGCGCTCGCACCCGGGCTGCGCTTCATCACGCACCACACATCGTTGCTCTCGAGCACAGCGATTTACTCTTGCATTGCCTCCTGCTACTCCGCGCGCTTCAAGATGCGTATGGCCTTGCCTTAATTACGCGGATCGCGCTCGAAGGATGCGCTGACGACTTAGTCACTCGCGGTTTGCATCTCCGGCGCGCAGCTGCTTGCTCACGCTTTGACGCGCCGTGCGTCCCGTGCGCTTGTGGCGCCCGATGCTTCTTGCTCTTCCTGCGAGCGCCGCGACCATCTTCCGCTCCTCTATTGTCGTCGTGAGTCCTACTTTTCGCCTCTGCTAGTGGTGTTGCCTCTTCCGCTTCTTCTTCTTGATCTATAACCTCCATCGCGCGCTGCAGTTGAGCATTCTGAGCGTCGGACAGCGTGGATATGTTCTTTACGTGTTGTGTGACGACCACCTAATTTTTTTCTAGAGGAGGACCTTGCATTCCTTTGTCTCCTTGCTAACGCCTAGACATGTCTCCACCGTCTAAAGATGGGTGTTATCGCCTTTAAGCGTCGCCAGACGAGAGTACGATTCGTTCAGAGCATGCTGGGTTTGACCAAAGTCTCACGGACGCTTTTCACATCTTTCAATAGATTCGAGTGGCTCTCAGCCGATACACCGAACGCCACCGGCATTGCTTGATAGGCATTGGAACCTCTAGCTTCATGTAGAGAAGTTACTCCAACGACGTCGTCGTTATGGTGACTACCAATACCTGGTGAAGTGGTGGGGGTATCCCGAGTCTGAGAACTCAGGTTAGTTTTAGTGACCCCTTCGGCAAGACTGCCCGTACGCCGTGGACGCTTTTAAGCGCCACGATCAGGCCCGTATTGACGAGCACGACGCTTCTCACTAGTCAGAGAGCGGGAGGGTTTGTGTAAAGTTACTGACGTAAAGTCGCGGCTGCAGGAGCAGCCTACGCATAGCGGGAATGAGATATTCCCCTCAGCCGGCCTTTGGCCTTTACTTTGCGAAGTCGTAGCGAAGCTTTAAAAGAACGTCTGCCACACTGGCACTTGCTCTCAGAGCTATCATACTACCCAGGCATCGAACGCCATGTACCCAGCGCATGAACGCATTATCCTCTGAGATGTCGTCCGCACCCTCAGACATTTGGACGGGTATACCCTTTATTGGTGGAGCCGGTGTATCTTCGGCCTGTGTCTGGAGTCTTTCTCGATACTCACTCAAGATCATCACAGCAGGTTCCACATACCTTTTCTGAAGAGCCTTACGGCATTTAATTTCGATGAACGTTTTCGCCTCGGTGCCAGTGTTCCACCCTGCCAAAATTTGGCCAGCTGTTTGACGAATGCGTTCTTCCACGTCAGGCATAGTGAATGTACAGTCACGATGTCGCTTAAGTGGCTAAGAACTTTTGACTTGCGCCGTGCACTTTCCGCATAATCGAGTATGCGTTGTTGCTCCTCTTCAAGTACGTAACTTATGATGGATGGGTCCATGTTAAGCATCGCACCCAGCGCTGTTAGCGCAGTCGCTGCGCCACGTTCAGGGAACGGATACCTTTCCTGACGTGAGGTACGGTCACGCACAGATTGGCTGGGTTAGGATGCTTCAACACCTGAGTGGCGGTAACACTACCACTGCTATCGTCCACTTCCTCGACACCAAGGTATTCGGCTAGATTTATCTTCCGTTAGGAGTCTAGGTCGGTCCATGATGACAATTTACGAAGTAAAAACCTTAACGAGGAGACGAGTCGAGTGATGTTTCGTGATAACGTCATATGGTGGGGGAACGTGTAACGGGATCATACTAACCATCGGCTAAATTGGCTAGAGACATCCCATATGTGATATGGGAGACAAGTGTGGCCTCAGATTTTATATCAGGAGAGAATACCGATTAGTCGGTATTCTTCGAGTTACGGCAATTACCGTGGAAGTACTTCTTATTGTCATCATTTGATGACTGAGTGATATTCCAACCATCCATTTGGTTCGAAGAATAATATTTGTCTTAGCTCTAGTTTAGTAAAAAAAATGTCAAAGTAGGATTTTCCTTGATATATAAACTAAATAAACTCAGTACTCATTTTGAGCGGAAGCCCGTAGACCCCCCCCCCTTTGCACGTTGCGCTTGATACTTCTTAGAACTGTCGTGGGATAGAGATTCCTTAGACTCCTGCATTCTCCTTTTACATTGTGCGTATAGTTCCTTAGAACTACAGTAGTCTGATGTAATAGCTCATAGAGTCCGCGCTATGTTCCATATAACCAGGAAATATTTGACTTGCCACACTATCTCCTTAAAACCAATTGATTGTCAGATGTAAGCCTCTAACTTAACCCGTAAATTCTTCATATGACTTTAGAGCTGTGGTAGCTCCACTACACGCGCTGTTGCCGACCGTATCGCGTCTTCTTGCTGACACGGCTTTCTAAAATCATTTCCACTTCGTATTCGCCTTCCTCCAGTTCGCGCGTCCAGCAATTATTTAGCAACAATCTTTTAATAAAGTAGATCCGATAGGCCTCGTACACTGATAGCCGGTAACCTGGAAGATCAGTATTAAATGTGAATAATCAAGAAAAAAAATTCTTCGTATCCCTTACTTTTAACCGCGCCGCATATATACCGACCAGCTCCAAAACTTGGAAACGGACCATGCCAGGGATGAGCCAACTTTTCGGTGTACCCTTCCTTCACACGATCTCGGTAGAGCTACACTTGGATACCTAGCCAAATCTTGTGACCGACCACTTGTTCATTTTAAGTTAGAGCCCGATCTTGACAGGTTGACCGCAAATGCTCGTTCACGTTTTCCCTTGCACGGTCATAGTTACTCTGGATGTGATACCTCCGTCTTCGAGCTCCCGACCCTTTGCATCTTGTGTAGCCACTGGCAACGTTGCTTCCAGGGTAGTTCTGGCGTCCCACGCGTGGGCCGAATAGAACGGTGTCTCTTTTCGCAACTTATCGTGTGTAGTGTGTAGTGCGTATGTTAGCCGTTCTGCATATTCGTCCTAATCTTGCTGCGCCAAATCTGAGACACTCATCTCGATAGACCTTGTCAGGGTTCGGACCATTCTTTCTGCGGTGCCGTTTGCCTGGGGTCGGTAAGCTATCGTTGCCCGTTCACGCTGACCCACCATGGGATTAAATGCTCGAAAGATGTCCAGAATGAACCAATTTTTCGGTTATGGTGATCACCTATCTGGCCCCAAAACGCCGAATAACACATTCTTCATACCCTTCGGCTACCGTCTGAGTTCTCGAAGCACTTACCTTGGCCATCACATAACCTGGTGAATAAGTCGACCCAAATGAATAGTTCGGTGTTTTCTTTATGTTACTTGGGCAACGAGGAGATGTGACCATTGCTATGCCTTGGAAAGGGTAGGTAGCCTTGACATTGTATGGAGTTGTCCCTTAATGGGGAGGCATCCCTTTTCCCGTCTTGCAATCTACACACAAGCCCACATACCGCTGTACACTTCGAAACAAGCCTCTCTGATTGCAATACCGGAGAATACGATAGTAGGTGCGACCGCCATCTAGACTGACGTGGTAGTGATGTAACACGTCGGTATGGAGGGATTCGGGGATCACCACTTGGGAGGTCAATTCTCGGTCGCCCTCGTCGGTCTTCTGGTCACCAGTAATCCTTCTTCGCTCCATCCCATAATAACTAGCCATTTGCTGCATGACCGTGCCATTTCTGCCGATAGGCCACCGGAATTCCTTTCAAATACGCCTTTAAATCCATTATCCAGCTCTATTCCTCTTGAGCTTTCCGGATCTGTTCCACCCGCATCTGTTGTATCACATCTCCTTGCATCGTCTCTCCGGATATTATGATGGGTGTCCCTCATCGGGTCTCCGCGAATAATCCAACCGTCCGATCATCGTCTTTGAAGACTAACAGCTCTACCAGTCAGTTGATCACTTCCAACCCTGGCTACTCTTCCCTCGGTACTGAACCGCCCTCCTTGTCTGTGTAATGCTGCACTATCCAGCTGGTCCGCACCCTGGTTCCAACCGCGCTTTACGTGTACTATCTCGTGGGAAGTCCAAAACTGAAGCTTGCTCAGAGCTCTTGCACGCAATGGAGACAGCCCTGACGCCCTGCACTCGACTTCTCCGCGCATCTACCGGACAAACAGATCAGGTTTCCATAGAGGATTACTCGCCGTCGTTCTAAAGGTTCTAAAACCTCGAAACCCAGTAACATACCTTCGTATTCGGGTTCATTAACTGTGGGTACATTGACACATATTGAGGCAGCGCTTGATACCGACCACGTAGACAGTCTCCGTACGATGGCGCTACAAGCTCCTCAGCCTTGTTTCACACGATCCGATCCATTTCAGCTCTGTACATATAGCCCTTTTTCTTCTTTTTCCACAGTGGGCGTAGGCAGGTCAACTTTCTACTTCGCCTGTTTCTTGGGTGCGATAGCCGATAGTATCGAGTCTACACTCTCGTGGGGGGGGGTAATACTGACTGCTAACGCCCCCAGCACCTGGTCTTCGCCTTTTTTGCACTTCCCAAACTATAATGTACAATGTGACAAGAAAGCGGCCCAATTTCTTAAAGCCCCTGCAATCCAAAGGATTTGGCCAACCAGGCCAACGTCGAGTGTCCCGTTTGGATTTTAAAGGTCGGTTGACCAGCATCGTTAATATGTTTCCAATATCCGTAACAACGCCAACACTTCTTTCTCCACGATACTGTAGCTCATTTCGTTGGCTTTGAGTGTCCGTCTCGTAAAGGTGACTGGCATAAATAGGCCGTCATAGTCCTTCACCAACGCCGCGGAGATGGCCCATTCGCTCGCGAAGACAATAATCACCGCTTCTTTCGATGGGTTGAAATGTCGCAAATAGATGATGTAGCCATCTCGTTATTGAGCATAGCAAAGCCACTTGAACTCGAGAATATTTCTCTTCGTCTTCACCTGTGGTCACTAAGTGGTGACCATCTTTGACAACGCGTCGCCACGCGTGGAAATCCACCTCTCTCTCCTCGTATAGGATCGACACAAAGATATCATAATCCTCGATAACCCTGCTAAAGTAATTCAGACTTTTGAGGAACGGCTGCATCGCCTTGAGAGTTGTTGGTAGAGGTAGATCGACTAATGCTTGGAGGTCCTTGGAGTGAGCTTCCAATCCTTCTCTGGATGCCCAGTCGCCGAGGCGTTCGAATCTGACATCCACACGAACTCTTGCTTGCACTTATTGACAAATCCCAGTAGTTGCATACATCCAACAACCGTTCCA